AATTAAAGGATAATTTTTTACTATATTTTGTCTTGCATTAAACGTTTTAATTATACTTCAATCACATTTCTATCAACAGTATTTTAAGCTGGCAGTAATAATATACTGCATGGTTTTACCTTTATTTTGATGTATTAAAGATTATTGAAAATTCTAGTCATTTCCAGCATTTCTAATGGTTTTAATGCATTTGTTTTTTAATCGGCCAATTGCTCTGAAATAATCCAGGGGCGAGCAACCTAAAACAGTTTTTTCCTAATGTGTTTAGTTGCTTTTTGTAGGTAATTGCCTGTTAAGCATAAACCTTCAATTTGTTTAGAAAGTTGGTGGAAGTAAGAGTGAAAACAAGATTTTTATTAAGCCATTCTCAAACCAGTCAACGTGGAAAATTCTGCTGGGCCAAAAAAAAATAGTACTGTGTGGGTGTTTTGGCTGACAGTTTTCTGTAGACATGCAGCTAAGTTGTATGAGTAGCAATCTGAAAGGCATGCCTGGAGGGATAAATGTTTAATAGTATGTCTGGGTATTCCACTATGGAATATTAGTGAATCGGCTTACTACGACTGGTCCTTATAATATTATCAGTTAATGGTCTGTGTAAACCTTGCTTCTGAGCCATGAAACTCTGTGTTCTTGAAGAATATACCATCATCTCATATAATAACTAACTTAATTTGAAGATACTGTAGTGTAGGCAGGTTTATTCATGGAATTTGAGTTTTCTTTGTCGTAGAAAAAATTACTTGATTTATATCATAAAATTAGAAAGTCTTTTTCTGTACTTTTTTTTTTTCAGGGCTTGTTCACACCGAAAGCATTGGCGTTGCAGAGAAGCCCTATTTTTTTGCGTTTGCAGTCGAACTGAAAGTTTTGCCACGCATCCGATCGCACTGCGAGGGGGCATGGAAGCGGTGCCATTAAATTAGATGCACTGCCACGCCCCCTCCCGCCCCAGAACATGGGGGGAAGTTTCTTAGCGATCACTGTGCGTTCCAGCACCTAACGCTTTGGAACGCACAAGCTTTCGGCGTGAGCAAGCCCTAAAGCTTTTCCTTCAACCATTCCCCACCTAACTGCACGTATCTCTCCCGTTGGGACAGATGTTGTGCAGGATATTGTATAATTGATATGCAGTAGGTATTGCTCAAAATGCCAAAAGAATAGGCTTCATTTCCACCTTTTTGCGGAGGTATTTAAAAAAAAAACATATTCTAACACGCTACACTGAGAGGTTGATTTCCTAAAGGCAAATAGGCTGCTCACCTTCCAAGTGAATTTGCATTTAGCAGGGTGAGAGAATTTTCAATTTGTAGGACTCAGGCCTGCAATGCGAGTCAAGAAAATGTGCACACCTATACATAAATGCTAATCACTTACAAAGGTGGAAATGGACTTTAAGGGCTTGTTCACACGATGTCCGGATTGTGTCCGGACCAGATCCGTGCGCTCCTGCACCCAAAATGTATCCCTATGTGTTTTATGGGCTACAGTTCTCTCGTGCGCAGTCTGGACAGTGAAAATACCGCATGTCACATTTTGTGCGGTTACGGAAACGCTCAAACGAGCCGAAAATGCACCGTAGCTAACATACTGACAGCCCCACTCCCAAAACAAACCAAAAAAACTTTTTTTTCTAACTGGAACGTGTCAAAAACGCACTGCACACATAGCACCGCTTCTGCAGATCTGCTCCAGATCTGGACCAGAAAATCGAGTTAACAAGCCCTTAAGGTGCACATACAGCTTACAACTAGGGTTGCACAGATACCAAGTACAATACTCGGTACAAGTACGAGTACATGTAGCGATACTTTTGAGCTCCAAGACTACACTAGAGAAAAATAAAAAAATTAGGAGGCAGCTGTCATTTGTAAGGAGCACACGGAGCTCCTGGGATTTGTACATCTCTGTTTTAATGTACGATTTTGTTTTTATAAATATAAATAAAGGGATGCACAGATACCAGTTTTGCGAGTACGAGTACTGGTACTTGCCGAGTACTTACAAGTATGAGTACTGATACATTTTTGTTGTCATGTGACAGTTTCTCTAAAACAATACAGACTAATGATTTCAGGACAGTGGTGGAGTGCCAGAGCCAGGTCCCAGCTGCAAACGCTGCAGCCCTGGTAGTTCTCATGAAAATGCCAAGTATCTGTGCATCCCTACTTGCAACCATCGCAATACTTTTGCCTTGCGATGGTTGTAAGGTAATTTAAAAAAACGTACGATCTGCCCATCTTGGATAGGCAGATCGTACTTGCGGTCATCGCAAGCCGCCCCACTGAGGGGCGGGCTTGCGATGGCTGGAATGCTGGGCAGTGTGCGCTTGGCAACACACATGCTCGAAAACCCGCCGACAATCGTACGATTCCACGCGGGTTTTCGAACCTGCTCGTAAGACAAAAGACGTGCGACCATACAGTAGAAATGGTCGCACGCCTTCCATACAACTGCCGATTATCGTACAGTCGCGAGATTTCCCGGGATTATCGTACGATAATCGGCAGGCGTATAGGCACCTTTTTAGAGATGGAAGAAGTGCAATTTGGGAACCTAATGAAATCAGAACCAGCTGGGGGGTAATAGGGCAACAGTCGAGAGAGAAAATGTCAGGGGAGGAGAAAAGGTGCCAGAAGGCGAGCAGCGGGTGCAGGAAAGAGGCCTATTAAACTGCTGTTTGTGGGTTGGACAAGGACTACATGAATGGAATAGTGAATACCCAACTGTTCATTCAAGTAGATGAAGACATGATGTTCTAGTACAGCGTTATTGACAACAAACTCATTTTGGCAGCAGTGTAGCCCTGTAATCTCTCGCAGTGCCTACGTAAAAACAAAAGACTGGGGCAGCATCAATTCTGTGCTTTTCTTGGCATTTGTAGTTTTGCATTAACAGAAATTAGAGACAGAGGGGACCTAATTGCCACCACCCGAGTCTACCTTTACCTGGAGATCAGGGAATTAAGGCCGCCTCCTTTTTTTATTTTTTTTTATTTTGTATATAAGATGTTTTGCTTATCAAATGCTGTGATTAGAAAGACAAAGTACAATTTTAAAGTGTGTCATTGTTTGTTTGGCTATAGTAGGGAAGTGTTAGAACACCGGTTTTCATTACTGTGTGTGACCCCACAAAAAAGTGCTTCTAATTGGTAAACGCGGCGGGGTGGCAGGTTGGTTTAATTTTTTTTTATTTTTTTTATTTGCTACAAGTGATCTGTGCGGCTGCACAAAGCGTGCGGCTGCTCCCCTGCTCTGCATTTAGAGCAGGGGGCTCTATGTAGAAAAAAAACCCACCTGCCCGGCACAGGGAACTGCATGTCCTGGGCATCGGGCGATAGGAATTGTGCACCGCTGCTATACATACAACTGGAGCCCCTCTGTCAAAATTGCAGCTGCTTCCTGTATGCTGCGCACACAGATAGGGAAGTTACTTCCCTACTGTGTGTTGTCAGTCTGCCTGGCTGTCGCCAGCCCACTGGCTGAGCGATACGAGAGCATCTTCCCCAGCCTGCTCGAACATAATTCCACCCACGTTAGTATGGTATGAGACGTAGGCTTTTTTTTTTACACACAGTGTGGAAGTATGCTCCTGCCTGCTTACTAAACAGACATGCCCTCTGCTAAGGTGATGAAGGATTTGAAGGCTATGTGACCGCTCAATAAAAGATTAAAAAGAAAAGATTGTTTCTACAGAAAATAAATGTGTTTAGCAGATGTATTGCACTGGTTTTTCTATTCACTGTGTCCACAAACACAACACTTTAAGTTACTGTGCAGGATATTCTCCTCCCCTTTTCCCCCCCTTTGTACTGCTTAGTAAAAAATACGTATTTTGTGTTAATTGTTTGAAATGAACACTAGTTTGTAAGTGCAGGAAATGAGAACTGCTTGCATTTTTTTTTTTTTTTGTCAATAAATTGCATTATAGAATTGGTGTTCACATATACTTAGTCTAATGCAATATCCTGACCATTAAAGACAATTTGTAGCAGTCTAGAAACGGAGTGATTTTATGCCTCATTTTTTTTATGTTTTGTTGAATAGTACAATTTGAAATGATGAATAAAAGGAAAGTGGTACAAATTTAAGAGGGGCACATTTTGCCTTTCTGTGTCCTGTTGCCTTGTATGCAGGATACTTTTTATATTTATGCAACCTACAAAACATTTCTATATCGTCTATAAGATATACTCAAATGTGTATAATGTAATTATAAATTATGCATGCAGCAGCTAAGAAGACTATAGGTTTTTCCCACTTCCTGGGTCAGCATTACTGGTTGTAAGTCAATTAAGTACAATAGCAAAAGCGTGCCTGTTCCCAAACAGGCAGGGTCGGGGATAAAATGAGTGGTTGTAGTAGTGACGGGGGTGGGGGGTTTAAGGTTTGACAATAGCCATAAATGCTCATTATATAGGCAGTATGCTTTCTGTTTAGTAGAGCTAAATAATTGAAGTTCATACCAAAAGTTAAATGTGCATTGTGCAAAAAGAGCTTTAGTTTTAGGGCTTGTTCATACCATATATAGTGCATTCCAGCACAATTCACTGCTAGAATGCACTGTATCGCATGACAGCCGGTTTGCTGTGTTCTGGAGAGGGAGGTGGTGTGGCGGTGCATTGAAGTCAATGGCAGAGCAGCCACGCCCCCCCGACAGCAGTGCGATCGTCTGTACCAGAATGTGTGGCACATAAATGCCTGCGGCACCATAGACTTCAATGCACCGCCATGTCCCATCCCAGAACGGAGGGAGCCGGCCGGGATGCTATACAGTGCATTCTAGCAGCGAATCGTGTTGGAACGCACTGTATATGGTGTGAGCCAAAATCACTCTGATTTCTTATTAAAGGTTAATAAAGCACAAATTCAGTTAGTGCCTGCTGTCAAAATTGTAGTCAAAGGCTGTGAAATGCTGCAGTACCATTTTTTTATTTTTTTTATATTTTGTGCCTTGGGAAGTGGTGTAACTGTTACTGACATCTTGATAATCTCTTGCAGGTTCCGCTGTTTGGCAGTTGATTGCATCTTTCCTTAAGCTTCCTATCTCTGGGACGCATTGTATTGTCGGGGCAACAATTGGCTTCTCCCTGGTTGCCATTGGTACACACAGCGTACAGTGGATGCAGCTTGTCAAGATTGGTAATTGACATTTCCTTTATTGAGTGAGGGTATGTGGAATACATTTCAAGAAATATCTGGGCTAAACACAGTATATTTGTCACAATATATAATGTGGAAGATGTTTTCTTTTAGTTACAATCATCTTCCCTACATGCACAGCATTCACTCGCATGTCAGTAAATCATTGTACATGCTGCAGGTAAGATTCAAGAATGAATATAACCAAATAAGGACACACTGTACTTCATTTCTATCTTTGTATATAATTGGAGTTTTTGGCATACAATGTTATTTTTCTTGGTTATGTGAGTGAAAAAGCAACTCTAATTGATTGTCACTTGCCTGGTGATATTCTCTCTTTTCTGGCCTTCCATGGTTGTGTTTTAATTTCACTAATGAAGACATAGTAGAAGAGGATAGTTGTTTAATCCATGTTTAAAGGAGAACTATGAGGTGAGTGATTTCCACTCATCCTCATAGAGCCGACCTGTGACAAAGAAGCTGTCACAGGTCGGCTCTATCGATCGGGAACTGAGCAGAAACATGCTGCCGATCCGCTCACTTTCCGATCGTCTCCCTGCAGTGAGCGGTGACTCCCCGCAGGGATTTCCCCCCCGATACTCTAGCCCTGAGTGGAGGAACGGATGGTGGGAGGGGGCGGGCACAGCTGGCTCTGCCTCTAGGTAGGCAGAGCCCGCTGTCGCTTACGCAGCTGGGTGGATCTCGACAGTATTGTCAGGATCCGTCCCGGCTGTGGCTCTCTGTGTATCGCGGTCAATAGCTCGCTATATACTGAGCTTTGGGTCACGGGAGGAGGTTAGTATATGTCCTTCCGTGACCCTAAAGAGAACTATAGTAAAAAAAAAAAAACACTTTCCTCATAGTTCTCTTTTTAAAGGTCATTTTTCAAAAAAGAATCGTATAGAAAAGTGCAGACAGACATTGATTACTAGAGGCCTATCTAGAGGCAGAGCCAGCTGTACCCGCCCCCTCCCCCGTCCGTTCAGCGCTAGAAGTACTAGGTGAGTGAAAAGCACTCACCTCATAGTTCTCTAACTATTTATAAAAATGTATCTTTGTATTTCTGTATTTGTGTATCACTCGGCTCTCTCCTTCGCCACTTTGTTGTCAAACACCTCTTTATTCGTTCCTTACACCTTCTCCATTTCTTATCTCCTCTTTTGGTATACATCCAAAGCCGCTCATCTGCAGCCTCTTTTCGTGATGCTTGTATGGCCCTACCCAACAGACGCGTTTTTTTGGTAACAAAAGTTTTTTATTAAATTTCCGTAAATAGCGTAGACAGTACACATAGGTTTCAGTAGATATGGTTTTCACATAGGTAAGTTGGGTAAATAAAAAAGAAGGTACAAAATGATCATACATGCTACATGGTTATCTACCGCAAGTAAAGAGTATTGAAACGAAAATATTTTGAAGGAGAGAGGAATAAAAGGAAGGGGGAGGAAGGGTGGGGTGGGTAGTGAGTCCATCGGTTTGGTGTATTGTTGGTTGCATTGCGAAGTCGGTTTAATGGTTCCGCTGCCTATCTCTGTTACGGGGCACCCACCCTGTACCACAATAATCCTCCTATAGATGTCTAAGGGTTTCCACATCCAAGTCAGGATGTTGGTGTAACACCCAAGGCTCCCAAATCTTCAAAAATTTAGCGTGTGTATCTGTGAGGACACTGGATAATCTCTCATTTGTCATGATGTTATCTAACCTAAGGGTAAATTCGTGATATGGGATGATTTGCTTTTTCCAGTTACTTGCTAGAGTTAATTTGGCCGCTAGAAAAATCTGATGTGCTAAGGAGCCTTGGGGTGTAGTTAAACCAGGTATTGTGCGTGTAATAGGGCCTGTACAAGATTCTTAGGAATACGGGTGTTAAATAAGCGGGATAGTAGATGATACATTTTAGTCCAGAAGCGGGAGGCGAACGGTCAGGTCCACCAAACATGGAGCATGTCACCAGGTAGGGTGCACCAACGGAAGCAGGCAGCGGATGAGGTAGGGAATATTTTGGCCAAACGAGTAGGGACCAGGTACCAGCGAAACATCACCTTATATGCCACTTCTATATTGGTGACACTAAGAGAGCATCGGGAAATGTTTCTCCAGGCCCTGCCCCAATCCTCCTCAGTCCAATCTATATTGAGATCAGAGGCCCATTTAGCAGGGTAGGAGTGTTGATTAATGCGTGTCAGAGAGTTGAGTTTGGAGTACAAGATTGACACCTGTTTGGGCCCATCTGGCGAGTGCAGGCATATATGCTCAAAGCAAGTAAGTGGCCTGTGTGGAGTTCTCCAGTCTTGCAGTGAGGATACCCAGTGTCTTATTTGGAACTAACGGAATAGCTCTGCATCAGGGATCTGTTTATGTTCTTTAAGGTATGACCAGGTGGGGACATTAGTATTGCTAAAGAAGTCATTCAGTATTTTAAACCCATTGTTGCTCCACCATTTAAATTGTTCAGGATTAGTATATGCAGGGAGGAACAATGGCTGGGAAAGAAGAGGAAGGAGGGGCAGGTCGGGAGATATTGGAACAACGGCTGGGAAAGAAGAGGAAGGAGGGGCAGGTAGGGAGATATGAAGTCTGCTGAATATTTCAGAGAGTCCCACACTTTTAAAGCTTGCTTCATAATAGGGCTAAGCGTAAGGGGTCTATTGTTAGGCGGCAGCCACGGTAGTGCCGAGGGTGGGATCGGAGAGCATTCTGTGATTTCTAGCATTATCCATAGAGGGATATTAGTCGTCCGGTGTATCGTGATGAGGGGTAATAATTGGGATGCTTGATAATAAAGTAATATGTTGGGTAGGCCTATACCCCCGTCTTTTTTATGTTTGTAGAGGGTGGTCTTAGAGACTCTGGGTTTCATAGGGTGCCAGATAAATGTTAGGATTCGTTTTTGCAGGGATCGTAATGCAAATGGGGATATGGCAATTGGCAAGACTCTAAAAAAATATAACAACTTGGGGAGGGTAGTCATCTTCACCGCCGCCACTCTTCCGAGCCATGACAATTTATGGTGTTCCCAGCTAGTCATCAACGATTTTATGTGTTGGAATAGGGGCATATAGTTAGCTGTATATAATGTAGCATGTGTGGGGGTTATATTCACACCAAGGTATTTCAGGGATTGTCGGGCACAGGAGAATGCGAAGTTCTCACGAAGCCGGTCGTATGTAGGTTGAGTTAGGGAAACGTTCAGGGCCTCTGACTTCTTCCAGTTCACCACTGGTTGGGAATTGAGGTGTGGGGTTGGGTGATGGTGAGCATGACATCGTCAGCAAAAAGGCTGGTTTTATATTCCACACCTGCAACCTCAACTCCCCTCACATTAGGATTAGTGCGGATTAGATGTATCAGGGGCTCGATGGCTAGAGCGAAGAGGACTGGGGATAGAGGGCAGCCTTGGCGAGTGCCTCGCTCAATATGAATGGGGTCGGACACCTGGCCTAGGTACTTGACTCGGGCCGTTGGTCCAGTATAAAGGGCTTGTAACCAGGATAAAAATGGTCCTCGGAAACCCCACTTAATCAATATGTAGTGTAGATAATCCCATGAGATTGAATCAAATGCCCGTTTAATATCCAGGGACAATAATATGCCCGGTATATTTCTTCTTTTAAGCACATGGATAAGATGGATAATTTTCCTAATGTTGTCTCCCGCTTGCCTTGAAGGGATAAATCCCACCTGGTCCCTGTGGATGATTGTGGGTAGGAATTTGTTGAATCGGGTAGTCAATATTTTCGTGAGGATTTTAATGTCCACATTTAAAAGGGATATTGGGTGATGGTTGTTGGGGTCTAGGTGGTCTTTATCTGGTTTAGGGACCATGGAGATATATGCCATTAGTGAGGAAGGGTGCATTGAGCCACCATTGCTCAGTGAGTTAAATAGTGCGACCAGTCTAGGGGTTAAGATATGCATCAATTTTTTGTAGTAGAGGGCGGAAAAGCCATCAGGGCCAGGAGCTTTAGAGGTTTTGAGGGATTGGATAGGTAGTATTACCTCTTCTGTTATCGCGGAGTGTAAAGAGTCAAGGGTATCCTGGTTCACAGTTGGGAGAGTAATGTCTCTAAACAAGTCATCTGCTCGTTCCCTGCAAAATGAGTCTGAGGATGAGTAAAGGTGTGTTAGATTCTCCTGAAACAAGGATGTTATCAGGGTTTGCAGTGATGTTTCCCTGAGTAGTACGAAGTTTAAGAGGGGTATTTCTCAAGGGCATAGCGTTTAGCTTACGAGCCAGCATAGAGCCAGGTTTATTGGACCTCGTGAAGAAGTTGTGTTTGGACCACCTGATGACTTTCTGTTTATCCAACAAGAGATTTAGTTCAGTTTTGACAGTGGTAAGGTGTGCAAGTATTTGTTTGTCAAATCTATCTTTTAATTTACCATCAAGATCCTCAAGTGTGGCATATAGTTCTTTTATTCTATTGTTTCTGTCCCTCTTCCTACGTGAGGCCATTTCCATCAGGTGGCCCCTCATAGTAGCTTTGTGGGCCTCCCAGAGAGTCACAGGAGAGTCCACTGAGCCAGCATTCAGGGCAAAGTATTGACGGGCATGTGACTCAACCTGTTGCAGGAAGTCTCCAGAGGTCAATAGACTTTCATTTACACACCACAAGTACTGTTTCGGGGCACCGGCTATTAGACAGAATCGCACCGCGTTAGCCACGTGATCTGACCATGGGACTGGCTTGATACGGGCAGATTGGAATGCGGTCAAATTATTTTGCAGGGTGAATATGTGATCTATCCTACAAAAGGAGTGGTGCGGGTTTGAGAAGAAGGTAAAATCCTTAGTGGTTGGGTTCAGTTCTCTCCAGACATCCACCAAATGATGGTCATTCAATATGGTGAGAAGAGAGGAGTTCTCCAATTGTAATGAGGAGGGTAGGCTAGTGGAGGTGGAGGGTTTGGTCTTGTCATTGACAGGGTGAAGGACCAAATTAGTATTAGCAATATCCCCCTGGCATGGTGGGATACAACCCCGAGCAGGTGAGATAGGAACCTAAGCTGGTGGGTGTTGGGGCAGTAGTAGGAAACAATAGTCACGTCCACATCATACAAGGTCCCTACTAGGATTACATAGCGACCGGTAGGGTCCGAAAGTTGCTTGTCACAAACGAATGGCAGATTCCTACGCAGTGCTATCAGCACTCCCCTCTTTTTTTCAGTAAAATTTGCACTATAAAAAATGGGAAAGTTTTTTTTGTGCAGAAATGTGGGGCTTGAGGAGGTGGAGAACCTGGTCTCCTGTAGACAGACTATGTCGGCATGACAGGAGGAGTAGTAGGAGAATGCCTTATTTCGTTTGTGAGGCGAATTCAGGCCTTGGATGTTGTGTGAGAATACAGTAAAATCAGTAGCCATGGGTAATAAACATATCAGGAGAATATTGCATTCCACCACGGGCAGGAACCCTGCGGGTAGTGGGACTCACGTACAACCATGGGGAAGGTAGTTGATGGTATACATTCCAGTTCACCGATGGATCGGGTAGAGCAGGAGAAGCTAGGATAGAGAAAAGAAACAGGTTCCCCGTACAGGGAAAGGTAAATACAATAACATAAACAAAACATGTAACAGTCCCTAAGGACAAGTGTTACGGGTGAGGAGGTGGACCAGGCCAACTCCTTTCCCGTAGGTCTCATGGGGGGGGGGGTGGGGGGTAATCACCCGGTCCCTCATAAGAGCAACTGTTCAATTTAACTTGCGTGCAACACACCAGGGAAATATAGGCACAACAGTGTGCACTGAGAGGCAGTCTAACGGCTCTGTGCTATGTCAGTGAGAACAGTTTAGGCGAAGCAGTGCACTCCCATAACAACTAAAGGTGTAGTTCTTGAAGCGAGGCAAACTTTGGTATATGGATTCACCATATGCATCGCAACGAGTAACGGTCGTAGACTTCACGTCTAGTGGAATAGCCAGGTTAACGGCGGAGTACATCAAGTAGGATCAGGTTGGGTTGGCTCTCTCCTCACCCTCCGAGGGCGATTTCGTTGGAACTGTAACTTCTTCTCCCAGAGTGGGCTCGGAGGCATCCGACGTGGACTTCCCGCAGCTTGTGAGGAGGACTTCTGCGATGGTGGGAGCAGCGTCAGGTCCTGGAGTATCTTCCGCAGTTCGGTAGGTGTCGAGATGGAGTAGGATTTGCCCTTGTACGCGAATAGAAGCTTAAAGGGGAAGCCCCATCTGTAGGCGATCTCATTGTTGCGTAATGAATCCAGTAATGGCCGCATGGCTCGGCGTCTTTGTATAGTGGTAGGCGAGAGGTCTGCGAATACCTGATACGCATGTCCCTGGAAGCGGAGTTCTCTCCGGCCTCTGGTAGAGCGCAGTACTTCTTCCTTGGTGCGGTAGAATGTGAATTTGACAATAATATCCCTCGGGGGACCTTCTTGTCGTCTAGGAGCCAGTGCCCTATGTATGCGGTCGAACTCCAGTCGTTCCATGGGCATTGATGGCAAAAGTTCCTGTAGGAGGGCCGTAATAGTGGATTATACGTCCTCCATGGATTCAGGCAGGCCACGGATGCGGAGATTGCCGCGACGGGCCCTATTCTCCATGTCCTCGACCTTATCCATGAGGGCAATGAGGTCTGCATTTACAGTGTCCAAATCCTGTTCGTGTGATTCCATCACTGCAATTACATCGTCAACCTTTTTTTCAAGCTGGTCTGTATGAGCGCCGATTTTCTCTGAGCTCCCTAGTTAGGGTCTTACTCAGCTTTTCAGAGACCGCTGCCAGCTCAGTGTGTAGCATGGCCTGACATTTTTTTAGCAGAGCGGTGTCCCTGGCGTCTTCCAGGTCGTCTCCCTGTGTAAGGGGGAGGCTGTCCAGCGAGGAAGAGTCATGGGCGTCCAAGAGAAGCAGTGGGGACGCAGACACATCGGGGTTGGCACGCGTGCCCGCCATCTTGGGTGTACCGCGTCTGGGTGTCTGCTGCTTTCTTGCGTCCTTCTGCCGCTTACTGTGTCTCATTACGCTGCCCCGGGTGTTTCAGGGGGTCAGGAAGACGAGACGAGTGATCCGGTGTTGTGCAGGGTGAGTGTGGTTGCCGATGATTGCTCGTAGGGGACCGGGTGTTGCGGAGCTCCCTCAGATCGCGGCCATCTTACTCGGCAGCTCGCCACGCCCCCCCCCAACTGACGCGTTTTGTTACTAATGGCTTTTCAGGTATCGGCTGTCACCTCAGAACTAGTTAGTGATGAAATGTGTCAGTTGGGCAGGGCCATACAAGCATCACAAACAGAAGATGCAGATGAACTGCTTTGGCTGTATCTGAAAGCGATTTTTCTTTTTTTTCTATTACACTTGTGTGATTTTACTGTCCATAAATATATTGTTTTTATATACTGCACAATGGGGAATCTGCTATCTTTTTGAGTTTAGCAAAGAGGAAATAAGAAATGGAGAAGGTGTAAGGAACAAATAAAGAGGTGTTTAATCTGCTGGACAACAGAGTGGGGAAGGAGAGAAAGGACTATCCCATTTAACTGGTTGGATACCAGAGTACGTAGAGGATAGAAATGAGTCTCTTTGTAAAGTGTGGATAGTTCATCTGTAATAAGGTGAACATAATCAGTAGGTGAGTGCGACTACACTTTTTCACACGGTGGGACTGGAAGCATGGATCACTTTATATTTTTTGGAAAAACACAGTTGTTTTTTGGAAAAACACAGTTGTTTTTATCACTATATGTAAAATGAATATTGCACTTTATTAAGAAGATTATATGAATTGTTGTTGCACAAATGTCTTAAGTATTGTACACATAGCATTGATTATATATTATTGTATACAGACATCAATGAATTACAAAGGTAGTCACTCATTTATTTTACATTAGCGCAGTGCTGTTTGTATTGATAGTTGTAGTGCTCACTAATTGGCACAGCTGCTTAGAATTAGTTTGGAATCCTAGCGCAGTGCATCACTGTTAAGGTGCCCATACACCTGGCGATTATCGTACGATAATAGGCAAGTGTATGGAAGGCGTGCAACCGTTTCTACTGTACGGTTGCACGTCTTTTGTCGAACGAGCATGCTAGAAAACCCGCCGAGAATCGTACGATTGTCGGCGGGTTAGTGGCGTGCTCGATCGACAACTGCGGAACGGGCTGCTACGCGCACACTGTCCGTTCAGCATTGCAGTCATCGGAAGCCCGCCCCTAAGGGGGGAGGGCTTTTGATGATCGCAAGTACGATCTGCCTGTCCATGATGGGCAGACCGTACGAGGTTTTAATTGGCTTACAACATGGCTTACAACCATCGCAAGACAATAGTCTTGCGATGGTTGTAAGGTGTATGGGCACCTTTTGAAGTAGACACCATGCCAAGCTCACTCCTGTGATGGACTGCAATCTCACGTTTAGTTGTTTGTATTGAGATTGTAGTCCATCATGGGAGTGAGCTTGGTGCAGTGTCTACTTTACTATTATACTTTCACATTTTTCATACAGGTAACATTGTCCATCTTATTGTCTCACAGATTAGTGATAACACTACATAGCCATGGCAGGGGATCCCATTAGTTGGTTTCTTACTGCGCTCTTAACTCCTTGGCTACAGATAAGAGCCAGTTTCCACCAGTAGCTCCCACAGAATTTTAGCAATAGTGCATACATGTTTCCATGCATTTTGTTATGCTATGTGATGCATTTCACTGTGCTTTTCTGTGTTTTTTTGTTTTTTTTTCTTAGGTCACTTCCTATGCCATAGTTCCCCTTTGGGCACACTGCTAGTTGTTTAGTACAAACATAATGAACGTTGCAAATGTCCTATCCAAGTTCTAGGCATCGTTTGTAGCTTCAGTGATGCAATCGATCATGTCCCACACTGTCACGCCTACTAGTGATGATTCAAGAAAAATATACAGTGTTATTGCTCAGGAAATTGCTCATGAGAATTTGTGATGTCTGGGACTGACTAGTGTAGCTTACTTGGCCCTTTAGCTGGTTGTGCTGGTAGCTGAGGCTGCAGCAGTTAGAGAGGAAATTGAATGTCCCCTTTAATTTCTGCATCACTTACGCTGGCCGAACCCTGGTAGAAGTTCTAGTTGTGTGGTAGCCCTGCTGGCACCACCCCCGGCTTGACAAGTCAATTATTCAACCAACTTTTGTCAAAGGAACTGGGTTGAAAATCGGCCAAACGGTAACTGCAGCCGGTCGGGGTCATTGGGTATGCTGACCACAACGGAAACTGACTGCCAGCATACAATAGCCCGGTAGACGAAATGAAAGATCTATAAGTGTATGGCCAACTTAACTCTAAAGGAAGGGGAATGTTGTCTTCCCTGACTGAGTTTATCTAGATGTGATTGCAGTTTTGTGTTCAGGTTTTTCCTTTTTTATTTTATTTTTTTTTATTGTTTGGGGACACTAAAATGGCAGAAAATATATAGGAACAAGTATGCTTGTAATGTTTATATTTTTTTAAGAAGTTAAAAAAAAAAGGATAGTTTCCCTGTTGGCGTTAAATACATGTGAATATTAGCATAACACAAGAATACTTAAATTGTCTTGCATTTTTATTGCTGTTTTTTTGGATGGACTTTAGGCTTTTTTTTCCGTTATGAGGTCAATAATTAAGCATTGCTTTGAACATACTTTTATTATGATGTTTAGTGTTTTTTCTTTTTCCATTTGAGCTTCTCAGGCAAATGTGTATGTTTGTCAAAAAGAGTCAACTGAGATGGTAACATAGCTTATAACATATTATGGCAAATAACCAGTGTAGCTGGGACAATTGGTGCAGTGACCTGATCATTTTGGATGCTTGTTTGAATGCATGGTGTTGTTTAATGTGGAAATTATAGTGTGCATTGTTTTTTGATTTGAGCATATGGGATGTATTTAAATGTTTTACTCTTAAATCTCCATTACAGTTGCTTCCTGGTTCATTTCACCCCTGCTATCTGGCCTGATGTCTGGTGCACTATTTTTGTTGATTAGGTTTTTCATCTTGAATAAGGTAAATCACATTATTTTCCTGCCACTTGTTTAACAGCTTGTCTTGACTTCTGGCTAAGTGGAGTCTTAACATTCGCAGTGCAGCGTTGCCTAAATGCTTAAAGTAGAACTGAAGCCAATAGAGTAACTTTAGCCTGCTATTGGCTATTGCAATATCCAATAGGAGGCTGGCTATTGCTCCCAGCAATAAAGCAATAAAAAAAGTTTAAAAAAATAATTAAACTTAAATTAAAAAGACTAAAAAATTTTTTTTCAAGTTTTATATATTAAAAATGCAAACAAAAAAATGGTTAAATCAACTAAAATTACAAATAGGAAAAAAATATTGGTGTATTTATTTTAAATTATTGGTTATTTTATTGGCTTAGAGTTTTTTACAGTTTACATTATTTTAAATCCATGAAACTAATTAAAATGTCTAATATAATACATACAATTATTTTTTTTACAAATTATATATAAAAGGTGGGAAAAGTCAGTTTCGGCCTGACAAATTTTGCTGCAGGAGGTGTTGCGGTGCCATTCATTTCAATGGATCCCAAATGCACCTCCCATCTGCAGTGTGATCGCCTGCACTGGAATGCACGGTACTGCAATGCCCTGCGTTCTGTTGCAGTGCAATTTAAAAAAAAAATGTGCATACCATTTTATTCTGAAGTAAACTTGTTTGTAAGGCTGCATTTGTGTATTTTATTTTAAAATAAATTATTTTATTTTATTTCCGATTTAATCGAAGTGAATAAGTTAATGATCAGCTAATCGATTATGAAAATCATTAGCTGCAGCCTTAATAGCCAGCCTACTATTGCAGTTTGAAATGGCCAATAGGAGGCTGGTTATTGCACCCGCCCACTGCTTGCTGTATTTACAGTCAGCTGCTGTCTGCGGAATCTTGCCACTGGCAGCTGTCATTCCCTGGCTGGAGCTTTTCAAGCGCCATGTGCCCACAATACAATTTATTTAAAAAAAAAAAATTATAAAAGGTGGGGAAAAAGTCATTTCAGTTTCGGCCTGACCAATTTTGCTACAGGACGTGCGTTTCAGTGCCATTCATTTCAATGGACTCCAAACGCACCTCCCACCCACAGTGTGATCGCCCGCACTGGAATGCACGGTACCGCAGTGCCAAGAGGTACAGTGCGATTGCAAAAAATTGTACATGCAGTTTTATTCTGAAGTCAACTTTGTAACACTGCATTTTTGTTTTTTTAAATTTTAAGGATTTAAATCCAGGTTTGTTTCAAGTTCAAAAGCAATTTTAGGCCGATGCAGTTAAAGTACAACTTGCATTAAAACAAACTGCTACAGCACCTTATAATAAGTGCATCTGCAGTTACTGTTTTCTTATACAAAAGTGCCACAGATACCAGTTGATCCTGCCAGTGAAGTCTACCTAATGCAGTTTCCTGTGATGGGGTGGCAACAATGCTGCACTGCTTCTGGCTTTCATAATTTAACTTGTCATATAGCTTGGTTCTAACTGTTCTATGACAAGATGTGTAACTTTTATTTTATTTTTTATTTCAGGAGGATCCAGTACCTAATGGACTGCGAGCACTCCCAGTATTTTATGCTGCTACAATAGGAATTAATGTATTTTCTATTTTGTTTACAGGAGCACCACGTAAGTAATTTCAAATGCTTATGTTCACTGTAATTTAAAAAAATAAATAAAAAGTGTTTTAAAAAGGCCAAGATTATAGATATAGATAGATAGATAGATCTATATATATCCAGCTTCCTGCAATGGTGTGGCAACAATGCTGCACTGCTCCTGAATTCAGAGCAGAGTTGGCACTCATCTAGGCTCAACCTGCTTGCACTACTGTGGGATGGCAATGTTGCAGAGGGTGTGGCAATCCACATTGTCACTGCTAATTCACAAGCCTATACCTTTTCAATTAGCACCTGAACGCACTTAGTCCTAGCCCACTGCTTTCTGGATTGGCAGCACTGTTTCTGTTGCTAAAACACTCCCACTGTGAGCTGCAGTGTTTTGAAGGGTGGGGGGGGGAGTGTTGACACAAATAAAGGAGGCTTTAACTCAGTCAGGAAAGGGTGTTTGTTTACTTTTTGAGGCTTGTACATCACACAGTGATTGGATTTAGGACTTGTTTAGACTGTCATACAGGAGACTTTTAGTCTAGGTATACGTTCTTCCAGTTCTGCTGCATGGGTGCTGCTGTTGGCACTATTCTGCCCGGCATCCTTCCATCAGCTGATGGAAGAAGCCATTTGGAAAATTCTCGGCTGAATGGAGCTACCAGCCAATTAGCTGATAGCTCTGTCCAGGTTTTCTCACAGCACAAAAGAAACAGCAGGGGATTCCTTGATCACTCGTGAGCATTGATTGAGTAATCTGTTCTATTTTTTCACTTTTTGTCAGCCCACATGTTGAATAAAAAAAAAAATAGAACCATGGCTTTAGTTTTTTAATTTGCTTACCTCCTTCAGGCAAGTGACTACAAAAGTACTGAAGCCAGTAGACTAGCCTAACATCCAGGGAACTAGCATTTTCAGAAGGGAAGCTCAGCAGCAGAAGTCTCCATTCTTAATACAAGTTTACATCAAATTGGAAAAGAAGGCAGATAATTGAAAAAATGCTTGTGTGTTTACACTCTAATTAGCCATACCTTTCACTGCTGATATAATAGTATATGTGATGCATTTGATTGTATACATTGGAAAGGATTGTAGTTCTTTTGAATTCACAGCCTAATCCAGTTCTGGGTGTGTAGATATATGCACATATAACAAACTTTGTTTTTGTAATCTGCCTAGTTGTGTAATAATATTTTTTGTTTTCTCCTTCTTTACAGTACTTGGAATGCACTTGTTTCCAGTGTGGGCCACTGCTCTGTTATCAGTAGGCGTTGCCATCTTATTTGCTTTAGTAGTCTGGTTTTTTGTGTGCCCATGGCTGAGAAAGAAAATAGCAAGTATGTGTTCTTTTGGGGGTATTTTTTGTTCTCTTCATGATCATGTTTTTATGAAAAAGCAATAACATTATTCCTGCACTGAGCTGCCTATCCCTAGATTCCCTAAATTCTTGAGTGCTTAGTCCATTTCCAAGATGGGTTTAGTACATTTAAAGAACTCATAACACTTGGGATAAAAGATTCAGGAAAAATAGGAGCTCCTATTCAGTGGTAGCAAGAACAAACTCTTGGGGTTCCGTGTGTGTGTGTGTGTTGTGTGTGTCCGGCAGTATAAAAAAAAACAAAAAAAAACTACAGACGCGCATGTCACAGCGGTGACATCAGCTCCATACTGCATTGATCAGGAGGGGTATCCTTGCATGGATCCTCCCCTGATCAGCCCGTGTGAAAGAGGCCTTACTGTTGGCTTGTGCAGGAAGTACTTTGAACTTAAGTAGTTCTCCTTGTAATTTCAATGGATTTCCATTACTTGATGTTTGTGCAGGTCGATTAAAGAAAGAGGCGCTGTCCCGTATATCAGAGGAAAGCCTTGACAAAATCCAGGATGAAGATGCTGCTGTGTTTAAAGAGTTGCCTGGTGCAAAGGGCAATGATGAAAGTGTGGTGCCTCTTACTAGTGCCACCACTGAAGGTGCTAATGGATCTGATACAGTTGTGAATGGAAACACCAGAATACCCTATGGTATGCCTTTTATTATATTAATGCAGATTTTTATTTTTTGTATATTCTTTATTTAGGATATAGACATAGTCGCAGCAATAGTTATAGGCATGACTCGTGAAATAAAAAGTAAATTGAGACCTAGTAAATAACATCTTGAACTTAGTCTACATAACACCATCGTAAGATATGAGATGTGAACATAATGCAGGTATTTTTGATGAGCTAGCATTCGTATTACAGAAAAATAAAGGCCCTTTTAGTTTGACTTTTTTTTCTGTTGTCTCTTAGGATGGTGACCACACGTACAATAACTAAATATATTCAGAATGGAACATGTCCTGAAAAATGTTTAGATGCCAATGCTGAACTTTGTGTAAAAGTGCTATTTGCTTGGCTGTCGGTGGTTTTAATACTTTTTTGTTTCTGACCTCAAACCAATATGCGGATGAGGAATTCTGACTTTTTCGCATTCTATTAGTGACTCTCTTTTTTTTTTTTGGCTAGAGTCAGACTGCTAATCTTTTTAGGAGATCAGCAGCCTGCATATTTCTCTCCATACAGGTTTACTTTAATGGTAGAATTATGAGCGTTGCCACATCACATAGCGCTAATCGCTTAGTTCTCGTTAGTCTTCCCGCAGAGAGTGGTTACTATCAGTCACTGCTTCCCGCAGGGATTCCCCCCTATCCCTCCGCATAGTGGAGGGACAGACTGGGAGGGGACAAGGCACAGCTGGCTTCAAAGGTCAATCAGACAGCAGGGTGTATCCCAACAATATCGCCGGGATCCATCACGGCTGCAGCGCTGCTCTGCGCTGTCAGCATTTAGCAGGCAATAGCCTGCTATATACTGAGTTTTGGGTCACAGGAAGATATTGGCATATGTCCTCATGAGGCAAAAAAAAGGTTGGGCTATAGTTTTCAAGAACTTTTTAAGAATATAAGGACATTGCTAATTTTGTAAACCAAATTAGTTGGTGGTAGTAGCTGTACAAGAGAAAGATTGGAGTCACTCCACTGGACTGGTAAGTATTACTAATATTCTTGCATTTTAAATTCGTTGTCTATCAGCAGAGTGACTCTAAAGTATTTACTTTTTTCAGTGTTAATTTAGTGTTGAAATTTGTTTTGATCCTACTTTGTTTTCTTTGTTACCAGGGAGGGCTGCTTCCATGACAAATGGCTCGGTTAGATCTCCAATCTCCAATGGTACATTTAGTTTTGATGGTCACAATGTTAAAAGTGATGTTCATGTGTACCATACTGTACACAAGGACTCGGGCCTATACAAGGACTTGTTACACAAAATCCACCTGGACAGAGTAATTGATGATCGCCCCGGGCATGAAAACAATTACAGAGTTTTAAGGCGCAACAATAGTTATACATGTTACACTGCTGCTATCTGTGGTATGCCTGTCCATTCAACATTCAAATCTTCAGATACTACAACCACAGAGGATAGTGAAAAGTTGGTCACAGACACTGTGTCTTTTTCGAAGAAGCGTATCCGCTACGACAGCTATTCTAGCTACTGCAATGCGGTGGCAGAAGCAGAGATTGAAGCAGAGGAAGGAGGTGTAGAAATGAAGCTTGCTACAGAGCTGAGTGACCAAAATCCAATCCAAGATGATTCGTTAGAAGAGGATAAAGATGACAAAGACAAGTCAGACGTTCACCTGCTTTTCCACTTCCTGCAGATTTTGACAGCTTGCTTTGGATCCTTTGCTCATGGAGGAAATGATGTCAGGTGAGTAGCACTGAACTGCCAAATATGTTCATCTATATTATGTAGGCATATATCCATTTTCCATTCCCTGAAACAAATGCTTCTATGCTATTTGTTTATGTAAAGGCAAAGGCTGGAGAAGGGATAGACCCTCTGTCATGTTTCTATTGCCGTATGTGTCTCCATTTTGCTGATTTCACCTCTACTTTTGCTAGCGAACATAGTCAGCATGACTAAACATAAGGGGAAAATCTGGAGATGCTACTATTGAAGTATTTTGGAGCCACTGCCAGGTTTAATGAACCAGTTTGAGATGGGTGCTTAGTTATGGTGTATTATCCTGCTAGATTTAAACTGTGACCACAGGGAGGACAAGGGGTACGTTTGGTCTGCAACTGTAGTCTGGGAGAGTTCATGTCAGACCCCATATTTCTTGTAGGAGAGCTTTACATTAAAGCATATGTTTGTCCAAGACATTTTTAGTTTTGGATAGATTAGGGAAGGGTTAAAACCTCTATGGGGTTATTTTTTCTGTCTCTTCCTAGGGAAAATGTTGCTACCTGTCCTCAGGATGCCACAGAAAATTAGAAGAAATCTCAAAGGGGTGGATCTCCTCTTAGACAGTTGTCAGTGGAACGTTTGTCCTCAGTGACAACTGTAACATTTTTGATTTCCCATCACATTCGTTCTCGCTGGTCTCCAGGACAAATATGGAGGGGGCACATACAGCAATAAAAACTTGGTAGGTTCTAACTGAGGATGCACCAATACCATTTTTTCGGCATTGAGTAAGAGTACCGATCTATATTTTTTTCTCAGTACTCGCCGATACTGGAAGTCCCACTAAGGAATCCATGTAAAGACTCACCACCTGGCTTCCTAATTCGCAGGGAAGCAGTCTCCATGCTTCCTCATCACTAGGTGACGAGAAGAAATTGGAGCCGGCTTTCCGGCCAATGAAGAACTCGGGTGCCGTGTAATGACGTGGCGCCCCGTGTCCTGATTGGCCAGGAAGCCGGCTCCATGTGCCCTCATCACAAGGTGATGAGTGAGCATAAAGCCGGCTTCCTGGCCAATCAGAAAGCAGGGCATTGCGTCATTGCACGGCGCCTGGCTTCCTGTTTGGCCAGCTTTCCGGCCGGGCAGCAAGTCAATACACGCTGCCCGGCTTCCCGGCCAATCAGGAACCCAGGCAGTGTGTAATGACTCGCTGCCCAGCTTCCTGATACCGGAAGTATCGGGCTAGGCATCGGAGCATTTGGGCGAGTACTCGCCCAAATACTCGGCACCTGTACCGATACTAGTATCGGTGCATCCCTAGTTCTAACCTCTCCCCACTTCATTTAAAACTGTGAGGGCTATATTATCTTCAAAATTGGACATGCAACTGAGTATAAAGAATGTAATATATATATAACTCTTTTGGAAATCTAATCTTCTGAAAAGACTTCCTTTGTTACCATTTACAGCAACGCGATTGGGCCACTTGTTGCATTGTGGTTAATATACCAACAAGGAGGAGTAATGCAAGAGGCTTCTACACCTGTGTGGCTGCTCCTGTATGGAGGAGTGGGTATTTGCGCTGGTCTGTGGGTATGGGGTCGGCGAGTCATCCAGACAATGGGTAAAGATCTAACACCCATAACGCCATCAAGGTAATTAATGTGCTTGCCATTTTGACGTTTGTGTGATTTTGATGGATGAAGGAAAGGGCCAAATTAGTGAAAATCAATAGATTCTTTAAGATAAAGTGTATAATGTGTTTATTTTGTCTTGCTTTTACATTCCAATGCAGCTGTGTGTTTAAAGAAGCCAAGCATCGATTTCAAACACTTCTATTGTAAACTAAAAAATTTTAATCCTTGATCTTGGTTTAGAGAATAATTTATGAATACAAAAAGTGCAATAACCATCACAATAGACTTAATTCACAAACCTCACACAGTAGATTATGGATCCTTTGTTAAAATAAAAATGTCATTTGATGTCCTTTATGATTATCTGGTGGGGGATATGCATGCATACATACATACATACATACATGCATGCATGCATGCATGCATGCATACATGCATACATACATAATAAATCTCCTGCTGCTCAAAAGTAGCACTGAGACAGAGTAAAATGTTTCACTGACCACTTCTTCATTGTGCATGTTTTGAGTGTGAGTGAAAATCTCAGTTGTGGATTATTATTTTTTTGTTCTCCATATGATTTAAATTACCCAGGTTTGTGGCAGGTTTACTGTAAAGATGATTTTGATAAATTTTTGAACATGTATATAATGTTTTTATTCTGTAAATATTACCTATTTCAAGGTGGTAAAGTGGACCTATTTCCCTGTTCTGGTGACAATCATAAAATATTTCCCAAAAAAAATAGAAAAGGTAAATCTCCCCAACATCCTGTCCCTTACTATCACCTAAAATCAGTGTAATAGGGTACGTGGCCAACAGAGGCACCACATGAATCTAAAGCGGAAATGGCTAGCGCTCCTTAAAGGAGAACTATGGGGTTAGGGCTTTTGCCCATAGTTCTCCTAAGGGTCACGGGAGGACACAAACTAGCGTTCTCCCGTGACCCAAAGCTCAGTATACTGCGAGCTACAGCTCGCGGTATACTGAGACGCCGCAGCCGGGACGGATCCCGACAATACTGTCTGGATATACCCAGCTGCGGGATTGACAGACAGCTGGCTCTGCCTATCCCGAGGCAGAGCCAGCTGTGCCCACCCCCTCCCCCGTCCGTTCCTCCAGTCAGCACTGGAGGATCGGACAGGGGAGGGGGGAATCCCTGCAGGGATCCGTGAGTGACAGTCATGGCTCTCTGCAGGGATAGATCGAGAAGTGAGCAAGCGACGGTATATGTTCGCTCATTTCCCGATCTACTGAGGCGACCTGTGGCAGTTTCATTGTCATAGGTCGGCTCAGGTTATGAGGCAGAGTGAAAATCACTTGCCTCATAATTCTCCTTTTAAACCTGACCGAGGTACTAACCATGACCTACTCTATGCAAAACTGGAGAAACATGCCTTGGCTGAAGCTATACTAACATTTTATTAAAAATGACCTTTCTGTTAAATTCTGTGTTTACTTTGAAAACTGCCACAATATGTTGCCTTGTTGCCATATGGAAACAAGTGTTTTTTTTTGTACTATGTAGGAATGCCTGCAGAAATCTAATGTCTTGCTCATGTGGTTGGCACAATGCTGTTACCAGAGCTTTCTGTCACATTACAGGCATTTCCTGCAGAAGAAGTTACATTTCTGGCGAGATACATGAACACAAGTCTTACAGATTCAAACCAGCTTCCATTCTAAAGAAATTTATGTAATATAGTTTGCTAAAAATGTATGTAGTTCACTAGTTTCCCCAGCAAATCTAGATTGCGAAAATGTGTAAATAAACTAGTAGTAGAAGTGCGTGAATGCTTTCTCTGGAGGAAATACTGCTTCAGGATCACTGAAATGTGAAGAAGCTAAACGGAATTCTTCCCGGTCACTTCAGCTGAGATCAGAGTGCAAAATGCTTAGGCTTTTGGTCATGGGGCCAGCAATGGAGGGAGTCTGATTCATTTTGTTCAGGTAAGGTAAGTATTTCAGCCCTTCATGTAAAAGTTAGCCTTTATTTAGCCATTACTGCACCTTTAAACTGAGAGATTAACTATTTGTTTTCTATCCTGCTTTGAAGTTATTTCATATGCCAAGTGAAGCTCACATGCATTTCTGTCAACTGTGTATTGTTCTGGTCCTAAATCTATTCATATAAATATATATTCCTGTCTATGAACTGACTGCATATGTCTGGTAAGGAAATGTGTTGATGGCCTGCAGAGCAGGTTGATAGTTGCAAGCAAAATGTGAATTTTAAGTTTTTTCTTATGCTCCCTGCAGTGGTTTCACTATTGAGTTGGCTTCGGCGTTCACAGTTGTGGTAGCTTCAAATATTGGACTCCCTATCAGTACCACACACTGCAAGGTATGCCTTTGTCATGTGACTGCAGCTGGACTAGTTCAACTATCCAATTTCCCCTTCTGTGTCTTAAGATCAATGTTTAGTGGCACAAGGGTATCTGTCAAAGAACAGTCCTGAATATTTTCATAGCTGTTCTCATTGCCTGATTCAGCACACAGGTATAAACATTACATGAAGAGATTGGTATCTAGTAAGAAGCTAACAACACAAGGCTTACCTTTTACAGCATTATACTACTACGGTTTTGCTTTAGTAGGATGAGGTTAAAAGGCAATGATCATCCCACTTGTGCCACTAAACAGTTGATCTACAGCCAGTCACTGAGAACTGCATGCTCTCCTGTTGTGTCACATTCACCAGTCTCAGTTCATGCATGGCATGTGGTTCCTGCTTGTATCTTTCACTCTTCAAACTATCTTTTGTAATTTTCTTTTATCTCTACAGTGGATTTTGCATTGAAGTTATGTGTGCGCTAACTGTACTAGTAGCCTCTAATGTGGGTATACCCATAAGCTCCACTCATTGCAAGGTATTGGGTTTGCAGTGGCAATAAAGAATGTATTTTGCTGTTCTGCTGAAAATTATACAGATGGCTGGTCATTGCATTTGCCTTCATTTATTAGGGTGCGTCAATAGCATATGGGCCTTGTAACACATACATGTAGGTTTAACTCCTACCTGTGATATCAGTGGAAAGATATATGCACTGGATACATAGAACTTTAATGGTAATGTATAGAGTTTTTTCACATACGCTTAAAGATAAAAACAGATCGGTCATAGTTGAGGGAACATTAAATATTGCATATTTCCTATGTACCAGTTGTAGTAATGTGTTAAATTCAAAGGTATTGCACTCTCTCTTACTACTGAATAGCCTACATTTCCTGTGTTGTGAATATACTTCCAATGTTGGATTAGGAAAAGGCAGCTGAATGGCTCCAAGGGAGACGCACAGCCCTCCATCTTTATTACTGAAATGTAATTTGCAGGATCAGATAAGAACCATGGTAAGTACATGAGAAAGGGTACAAGCAGTCTGGAACATTGTATGCTGTAAGCTGCACTATTGGTCTGTTCATTGTACTTGCAAGTGTACAATAAAATGGGTGTTGTTAGATGGCATAAGTCCCAGGGTCATATAGGTTGCTGCATGGATTGGCAATGACTGAAGAACGCTGAAGGATGCTTACTATTGCCATTATTAAATTTTGGAAGCATACTGGGGTTAACTTACTAAAGAAGCAAACATTGTTCACTTAGCAGAGTAACTGAATTTTCACATAGCAAAACAAATGTTGGTAAATCATGTGGGTTTTTTTGTTTGTTTAAGTATTCAAAAGGAACACAGGTTCACCTTATTTAAAATGATTTAGGAAGTTCAACATTCACTTTGCAAATTAACCAGCCTTTACGTCTTTAGCAAATAGTCAGTTACATTGCAGTTAAGAGTCTGGAGAATGGCTTGAATGTGCTGGCTATTGTGGCTTTCTGACTCTCACTGTCCCCTCCCTTCCTCCAGGCTCTTGGTTTGTCTAGAATAGGGAAGTCAACAGAGCCACATAACCTATATATAGTATGTGCCAAAGGACGTACCTTAAAACAAGTGTCATAAGATATACATGTACAGTGTCTCTATGAACACACAATCAAGTGCCCGCTGTTTCAAAAGTTGATTACTGAAGGCAAAATGCTAAAATGATTAGCCAGCTGTCTTTTGTTGTTTTGTATTGTATGCCTGCAAATTATGTGTAATCTGCTTATATTCCATAACTGCTTCTTCTTCCTTTTCATGCCTAATCTTTTAGCAACCTAATGCTCTATAAATATGTGATATTTCTTCTAGAAGTAAAGTTAGTTCTTGTTGATACCACTGCTCTCCTTTTTGTGATCATTAGTTAATAGTTCACTTAATATATATATTACAAAATTGATTTTCATTTGCAAACCCATTAAGCTGTAGTGCACCTTTTAGGTAACTATATGAATGTAAAAATGAAAATCATTTAGTACAGCTATAACCATTGACAACATTTAACACACTAGGGTTTGCCATTTTTTGTTTTTTTTCTTTATGGTGTATTAACTTCAAATTTTGTTTCTCCATCCCGCAAGGTTGGATCAGTGGTGGCTGTTGGTTGGATCCGCTCAAAAAAAGCTGTCGATTGGCATTTGTTTAGGAACATCTTCCTAGCTTGGTTTGTGACCGTACCCGTAGCTGGTCTTTTTAGTGCGGGAGTCATGGCAATCTTCCAGTACGGCATCCTTCCCTACGTGTAATCATGTAACCTGACTTCTAAAACAAAGATCCATTTTCACTTTTAATGCATACTGGAAATCACAGAGCTACAGCAATACTTTAGACCGCTACTCCACCAGCAGCGTGGAAAATAACAGGCCCTACTACTTATCAATGCATCATCATCTTGATGTGACTTCTGCTGTATATAATGTATGTCATATTTGAGACATGGTGAGATGTGGCTCATTTAATTACAT